TGGAATCCGGGAAAATACAGACACAAAATTGTGCGCCTATCCAGTGCACAGTTTGGCCTCGTAATGAGTGCGTTTTATTGTTGTTCCAACCACTGAAAATGGGGAGAACTTTGTTTTGGGTTTGATATAGTTGTTTTCTTGTTTTTGTTTTCCACTAAAAAGAAGGGACCTCGAATTATCATCGGACTGGGTCTAGTGATATACCATAATAAAGCCCTGGAACTCGTAATTCGAAACACATTAAAAATTTGAAAATTTTTCCCCAGTGTCGAGAAAAACCGGTTTGAAAATTTTGATTTTTCGTCTCATTTCGAGCGAATAAAATGAGCGAGCAGTCTTATTATGGCTTAAAAACTTATTATAGCTTATTTTATAACGTAAAAAATTAGTTTTATTTGGGTAACTTTAGTTTACTTTGTATATTTTAACGTCTCTTTGGAATCATAAATTTCAAAAATTCAAAAAATTTCAAGAAATTATTATTTTTTTCGTTTCCGAGTAATTTTTGTACAAAAAATGTTTTTCATTTTGGTTATTTTAGTATGGCTGTCAAAAATACCTAACCCCCAGTTTTTGGTACCCCAGTTTTTTGTACCTACTATACAAATTCCACCACGCCGATAAAAAACGAAAATGATTTGAAAAAATTTTGTTCTGTTTTTTAAGACTTTGGTCAGAAGATTCTGTGCTACTTGCACAGTAACCTTCTATCCTTTTTAAACTTGTTTTTGTTTTGCGATGAAAAAGATGCTTCATACTATGTTTTTTTAGAGAAAATGTATAATTAAATTTTTTGTGTCAACATTCTAAAATTGAGTATCAAATGTATTTTTTTAGTCACCGAATTCATTCTAAGCTCAAATAATTCAGTTCAAAAACTTTATTTAATCATTTTTGGGTATTTCAGTGCCGACTATGAATACAGCCAATTGATTCACCCAGCTTAATATTATTGATAAAAGTTTTATTATTGTCCCGACTTTCGTGACGAAAGTAACGGAATTATTGTGCTGGGTTTTTTTCTTCAGACAAATTTTGACTTTATAGCTAGCCATTTTTGACAAAATTTATAAAATTCACTCAAAAATTATTGTTTTCCTGAGCTGAAGTGTGAAAAAATATTTCACCTGTGATCATTTTTGGTAAAATTTTGGGGGTTTCAAGATTGCCGTTTTGGCCAATTTGGGACAATTAACGTGCGATAACGCGTAAGCGCAAATTATTAACGCGTAAGCGACAATTGGTTGAAGGAAGTTTATTTGGCATAATTAATTTGTTACTTGGAGCGAAATTTATCACTTTGTACTTTATATGGCGTGTGGGGGGATGGTTTTCGCAAAAATCTCAAATTTAAGAGAAAAAACTTTATTTTACTATTTAACATAAGTTTTTCTTGTTATTACTGCCCCATGGACCTCAAAAGGTATCGGAACACTCAGGGCCTCGCCTTGATACGAGAAGTCTTGTTGGTTTTGATTGTGATTTCATTATGATCAAACTAGTTGCTGTGAAACATTGTCTCAAGTTTTGACAAAGATCAACCACACTTTGCATTTATTTAAATCTCTGCAACAAAATAACTCGGGAAATGCAAAATATTTTTAGATCTAAAAATGCAAAAAATCTAAAAAGTTGCGAAAATAAATGTAGAGACTCAGCAACAGGTAATTTTTATCAACGATTCATCAGTTAAATGACCTGCTTCTCAGTTTATTTCCAATAAAAAAGAAGTCGTCAATTGACGCGGTTATAATTATCATTTGATAGAATATTATTCAATATCCAATATAACAATCAATCAATGACTAGTTTTCTTTACTAGAAGAGCAATAATTTTTTCCTTGATTAGTTTGGTTTTGGCGTTTGATCTCACCCGCACTCAGTAAGAAGAGAAAATAATCGATTATATTATAATTATAATCGTATTTTTAGCAAAAACATAATTAGTTATAAGCGCCAAATTTAGACGTTTAAGCGATTTATAATTCATTATAATGAAAACATTTTTGGTGAAATTTTAATCAATTATAATAAATCCGAAAATCTCTTATAATCTATTATACGAGGTTATAATACCATATTCGATCAAAACATCATCTGATAATGGATTATAATTTCAGCTATTCTGCAAATAACACAGTAAAATTAAATTTATTTTGAGTTTCAGCTATTGACAGGGGCGTATCTAAGATTTTCTCGAGGGAGGAGGGTGGGGGGATTTTCAAAAAGTTTCGAATTTTTTGTTAAAATTTTTTTTAGGTCGACCAAATTGACTTTCCGAGCTTTCCCAAAGCTCTACAAAGACCCTGTTTTGGCCAAAATTTCTGCGTCGCAGGCAAAAACTTGAAAAACAGACCAAAAAGGCGTTTTTAGGCACTTTTTAAAATTTTTCGACCAAAAAATCGAGTTTTTTCGGGGCGCTCTTCCCCCTCAAAATTAGCATAGATTGGCGCCAAAGGCGCCTTTAGAAAGATTTTACGGTCCGCCCCCCTTCTTCCTTCTATTCAAAAAATAACCGATTATAATCGATTATAATTTATAATAATGATTTTTTTTTGGTTTCGAAAAATAGTAACATTATAATCTATTTTTAATCGATTATAATCAATTCTTTTTGAAATTTATGAAGACTGATAATGAAAATCCAATATAATCTATTATTTTCTTTCTACTGATTGCGGGCAGGCTCGTGAATTAGTTGGAAGTGTTTGTTAAAATGGGCATATATGGAACGTTTTTTTTTTGTTAGAACCCTGTAAGAAATTAAATACTTTAAATTATTTTTGTAATTGAAAATGTAGTTCAATGTGCAATGTTTTTTTATCGCTTAATTTTTTTCTCATTAAAAAATATCTGTGGTCGTTGTGATTTTGGTCAACACGCAAAAAAAAGCAAAACAATTTCTTTGTTTATGGAGAAAAAGCTAATCATACGTTTATGGAAAAACTGCTTACCACACAAGTCTGTGTAGAAGAAAAACTATTATCAAGCCAATTTCTTAGCATTTTTTACTGTTCGACTTGTGTGGAACATGCATCACACGCTTTTATCCTAAAAGGAGCGTGTATTATTCGCATTTTCAGTCAAAATGGGAGCAATTGAAGATTTGAAAATGGCAGTAAGAACCGAGAAATGATCCCAGCCGCTCATTTTATCAATGACCCCAGATTAGAACTATCAGTTAATTGGATACAGGTTAATTGGCTCCATAAACCCGAAAAGTTCCCAATTTTGCATCTTTTCTGCTATTTTGTGTTTGCAAAATATAAATCAATTTCTAAGTTTTTAAAAATTATTTTAAAATTATTTCCTCATTTTTGGTATCCAACCAATTTTTAGAAATATGAAATTTGGTTATGTTTTACTTTCTATGCTTGTTGATTATGAAATCTGCACATCCTCAGTCAATCCTAGAAATTTGCTCCAACATTTGCTCACTACCTTCATGTTATTTGAAACCGTTAGGTTCAAAAAAATTGAATTTTAAAAAGGCAACTAAAATTCGGAGAAAACTGATATATGGAATTTTAAGCTCATTTAAGTTCATTTAAGTTCATTTATTAACAATGTCAATTGGTTACCTGTGCCCTTAGCTCAGAATTTTCCAATCAAACTAATTTAACAAAAGAAATGGGAATTGAATGAAAAAATAATAATTTAATGTCATCTTTTTTTTCGGTTTTCCTGTTGTATTTACAAGAAAAGGCGATTGATGTAGATGAAAAACGCAGAAATATTGTAATTGATTATAATTATATTTTTTTTCAAAAATAATTGATTATAATAGCAATATAATCGATTTCGTGGTCTGATTTTTACATCTTTAATAACTTATAATGGATTATTTTTGGTTCAAGAGTCCATTATGATAGATTAAAATCCATGGGTGCTCGGTTCAGGTATTGATTTTTTCCTATTTGTCTATGAGTAACTGGAAAAAAAATATGTAAAAGTCTATTTGATAAACTTAACATTAGATCATGAATCTAACCCTTCATTTGAGAAGAGAACCCGATTATTTTCCAATGTATTTATTCTTCTGTCAGTTCAAGGAAATAAATCCCCTAATAATCTCAATAAACTGTTTCATGTGAAGTCATTACTCAAACAAAATTACAAACGAAGAACTCTTTTACAAAAACATCAAATGAGAGTGTGCCACAAGACTAAAATCTAGCCCGTTATGCCCTTACTTTTTCAGAAATAAATCAATCTGATTTATTCAGAGTAATTTTCGTACGTATCCTTAATTACTATGAAGAAAAAAGCCTGTTTTGCGCCGCAGGTAAATTCTTAATAAAAACAAACCAAAAAGCTGTTTTTGGACACTTTTTGGGAAGCTTCGACCAAACATCGCGTTTTTTCGTCGCGCGCTCTTCCTCATTGGCGCCAAAGGAGGCTTTAAAAATTAGAGTCCGTCGTCGAAAAATGGATGAACCCTTTGGGTGGTGAGGGGTCGATTGCTGAAAAAATGGTGTCCACCAATCCAGGGGCGGATCTAGGATTTTCTCGAGGTGGGGGGGGGGGGATTTTCAAAAAAATTTCAAAAATTTTGTCGTCTTTTTTTTTAAGTCGACCAAATTGATTTTCCGAGCTCTCCCAAAGTACTACAAAGACCCTGTTTTGGCCAAAATTTCTGCGCCGCTGGCAAAATTTTGATAAAAAACGGGCCAAAAAAGGCATTTTAAGCACTTTTTGGAAAATTTTGACCAAAAAATTGCGTGCGCTCCCCCCTCAAAATAAGTATAAATTGGCACCAAAGGGGGATCCTTTGGGTAGGCAGGGGTCGAATCCCTGAGAGAAAAGAATCGTCCGCCCCCCACCCTAAATCCACCCCTGCACCAATCCCCTCTTCCAGCTTATAACTTGATTTTAACATCACGTTGCGACTCTAGCATGTTATCTTAGAATTAAATTAGAATATAAACCGAAACGAATTAGAGTTCTCCTGTTACGGGCAAACAAGTTCAAAATAAGCAAACTCAGAAGACTTGAAAAACTACGCAAGAAAAAACTCAATTCTCGTCCACATGATGGATTAAGACAACACAAATAGTATGATGAACTCATGTCAAATTTAACAAATTAATTCAATCTAACATTTAAAATCATAAGTAATATTACAAAGAAATTTGATCCATTATTTAGAAATAAAATCAACATTTGTTCTGTTCCACATTTCATTATGCTTTCCACGTTATGCTCGAAATTTATTTAATTTTTTTGACGAATTCTATTTCTTGTTCAATTCATTTAGGAATTGCAAAGAAAGATTTTCTATTTTAAGATAAGTAAAAACTTCCACTTCCAGAGTTTAATCTTCTATCTTGTCTTTCGGGACATCTGTGCTGCAAATCATCCGATTATGGGCATAATTCTGCTGCTGTGATAAACTGCAGCGATGGCTATGGCCACAGTCAGCTCCAGACTTGCTCTGATGCCGTTTGAATTGTCATACTTTTCATCTTCGTTGACCCACCTGTACAAAAAGCACTTCTTCAAGGCTGAATGACTGGATTTGAACACGTTTTAATTGACATCGCGGTGTGCGATTAATCACATTGATTTTGACTAATTAATCAATAAAATCGATGATAAGTTAGTTTTTGTTCATATTCGTATAATTTTTGGGGATTCGGTTTTCACGAATCCAATAAAAAAGGATGCAATTAAAATAAAATAAAAGAAAAGAAAGCTATTTAGAATGGAGAGCCTTGCATAACAGAGAATTTTTCGAGGAATTCGATCTCGTTATTATTAGATTTGGTCACATTCACTCTATGTTCTCTGGTAGTATTGTGCTTCTATCTTATTCTGATTCTACCTTTCATCAAACCGGATTGGCAAAAACTCGTATTTATGTATGCACATTAGATGTTATTGCTGACCGATATGGTTAAAACGTAACAGAGAGCATGAACTCTCAGAGCTAGATAAGACACGTTACCGTTCAGCTTATCTTGAGTTAGTTTACCAATCCGTTCGCATTCTAGAAATACTCATACATCAAGGTATGGCATGGCACAGTCAGTCGGATACAAAAATTTGTTGAGCATCCCACCGTCTTGGCAAAATGCATCAGCAGAGCCACCACTTGAAGAATATGGCTGATTTGCCAGACTGGATAGAAGTACGAAATTTATTTAGAGATAAACCAGCCATTATCGATCCAACAGAGCCAACGTACGAGATAGAAATTATTAGTGAGATGAAAACACAGAAGCGCAACCGGGATATTCGAAACCATGAGAAGAAAGTAGGATGGGAAATCAAAGTAATCGGGGTCAGAGAAAAGTAAGTTCTGTCCAACGCATTCGCATGAGACGAGGCAAATGCAAAAGAAAGGCACTGCTTATTCCTACGTCTGGGGGCCAAAACCAGCGTCAACTTCGGCAGAACAGAACTGGTCTCGACTTATAATCATCGAGAAAGAAAAAAAACGTGAAGACACTCGAAGCTATCTTTGTTGTGACAAGAATTATCGCATTCGAAAGATAAAACTTCATTTGCCGAAAGCAAAGACAAATTGCGTCATTAGATCAGTTTCATGCAGATCTAGTAGAATTAGTATCACGCGCAGTCTGCGGAGATCGAGAAGTAGAGTGGGCTCGGGATCTGCTTACGGCTCACATGACAATTAAAAAATAGCAGAAAAGTTATTGGCAGAAACCAGATCCCCACAAGACGCATGCGAATATGCAATCAGAAGTGAAAAGGTGACAGAGCACAGAAAAATAATGAAAACAAACCCATTCGGGCCATCGGCATCAAGAATCACCAGCAAGAACCATTAGGCTTCATACAGCCACGCGAGCGAGGTGAACAAGGTGGATAACAAAACAACTAAAGAAGTCGGGGATATTCAAGAGGCAGAAAAAATTTCCCGAGAGGAAATTATAACACAAGAGGCAATCAAAACCAACAACAACGAGAAAGTCAAAACAAAATTGAACAACTGGACACCAACTATGAAACGATTTTGGCAAACGTGGTGGCAAGCGTGTGTCTTGGGACGGAGACAAATGTGGAAGAAGTTACACAGAAAGAGCTTACAAAAAGTGCTGTGAATCGGTTTCTTAGCCGCAGCCAACTAAAAAGATCGGAATATGAAACCGATCGTGAATTTCATTAGAAAGAGAGACTGGGAGCCGCTGAGGTGTGCTTACGAAGACTTTTGTCACAATATAAGAAGTCATCTCCACGACAGAAATGACTGCCTCCTGATACATGAGCGAATCGTACCACTTTCACAACTGCAACAAAAAAACCCTTTACATGCGCACTTGACAAACCCCGGAGCCGCAGCGATGTTAGATCTGTGTGAACATATCTGGTTCCCCTATATACACCCGACCATTGTACAAATGGCTCAAAACTGCCGACACTGCACAGATTAATCTGGAAATTAAAACCACATTAATGTGTGTTAGCAACAAACACAATCATTCCAGATGGAACCGGTAGTCGAACCCCATGAGAAGGTATAATTGGATTTCGCAGGGCCTTTGCCAGATGATTTAGGCAGGGACGCATACATTTTAGTTGACATGGACATATTTAAAAATACCCGACGGCAAAAGCAGCTTAAACACAACCGCAGATATAGCCATAAAAACATGCAGGTACATTTCAAATAATGGTGTATCGAAAACAACAGGATGCGATCAATTTAAATTTTTCGAGCAAAAAAATTTTAAAACGTTCTGTGAAGCAAACATTGTAAAACCTTTATTGGCATCCGTAGACTATCACAGATCCATAATTTGAAACCAACTTTGAAACGTAAGGTAAGAGTAATGGTTTTTAGTCGAAAATAACGCACCATTTAAACTCGCGTCAGACATAGCTGAAATATTACCAATTCTGATACTACCAAATTTTTTTGATGAAAAATTGTGGTAATTTAGACAAAAGTTTTTAGAGTCTGATGAAG